TCGCTGAGATGCCAAACAGCTACCTCACAAATCTCCAAAAAGCCTCGGAAAAGAAGTGAATGACAAGTACCACAAAAGTCCAAGCTCGTAACCTACAAAAATTTGTAGAAGCAAGGGGTGAGTACCAAACCACACGGTACTCAGCAAGTAAACCTCTAAACACGAGCTAAGGGAATAGAATACGAGCACTCCTTACACCCCAACCGAACCTTCACAACTACAATCTGTATACAACCAGCCCAACCTAACAGTTCACAATTTACAAGCACATATCTCAACAACAATATTCTAACAATCATATATTCTCAACAACAAGATCAATATTCATCAATTACGACCTGCACAACTACAACCTGCCTAAAACCAGCCCAACATAACAATTCACAGTTTACAAAGCACATAGCTCAACACAACACTCTAACAATCTCATATCCTTAACAACAACAACAGTTTCATATCCTCAACAACAACACTCTAACAATTGCATATCTTCAACAACAAGATCAATATTCATCAGTCACAAGTTCCACGGAAAGGCACTCACAAGATCAGCAACACACAAGATCAAGTTCACCAATCATAAAGAAGTGCAATGCAATGAAATGTCAAGTATAGTGATGCATGTCTGACCTAATGATACACACCCGCTGTCTCTCAGTCCGGGACCCATGGGGGACATATCTGTCCATGCATCCATCGCGGCGCGCGATACGACCCTCAATAATAGTAACCATCGCGGCGCGCGATACGTCCCTCGAAAGGGTACATCCTCTTTAATTTCTTATTCTTTCTCAATTCACATAACACTTGTCACAACCATGTCTCAGAACAATGCAAATGACATGTTCACACAAATAATGAGGAGATGACCATTTTCATAACATTGCACAATTCACAACAACACAATCAGGATACAACATCAACAATGATTCAACAAGCCTTTCAAACAATTCTCAACACATCACACAAACAATTGATCACATTGCCTTTTTATAATCTCTTTTTCATCATTAGAATTAATCAATGTGGACAAGTCAACCCATCACCAAGCCTCATTACCCTAAACACATATTACAAGGAAATACATGAATTCCATACACTTAACAAGAGTTGAGAAATCCACTTGCCTGAATCAAATAAGAATTTACTCCGGGACTTGAGCCTTCCCCTTTTGTTGAACTTCCAACTCAAAGCAATCTAGTCAAATAATTAACCACAATAAGATTTCAAAACTAACAACACTCAACACTATAATCAAGTTCCTGAACTTCAAACCTAGGGTTAAGTCCCAATCTTTTTCCAATATTATGAAACTAATAGTAGTTATATAATATTATACCCTAACACTTAATTACCTAGCTCAATATAAAGAAATTTGAATTATAATATGGTAATTATATAAAATCTGAAATCGAAACCACTTACGAAACGATACTTAAACTTACGGAACGATACTTAGGCTTGAACTAATAGCAGAACGTTGTTTGTGCATTTACACTATAATATACCATCCTTCAATGATTGGATTATCATTGGTCATAATTACTCTATAATTTATCCACTAAAATTTGCCAACAAGTGACCCATAAATGATACTTGCCCATCAGTTGAATAAAACAATATTGGCAGGGATTGAAGATCAAAACTCGTTAATTACCAACATATTTTAATAATAATTCAAAAGGAAAAACACATAGGAAATTCGTATTACCATTTACCTGAAAGTAATCTTTCGATTTCTACGTCGGCTCTCTTTCCACAAGAAATTTCCGTTCTCTTCTTTT